TACTCCTTTTTTTTCAGTGGTCTCATAAGGATGCCTCCATTTCTTCTAAAGATATGGATCCGACTATAGATTTAAATGTGTAGTGTGATTTGTCTGATCATGCAGTAAAGTGAACTCTATTGCTATTAATTTATTTTTTTAAAGGTCCAATTTAAAACTTGACTTTTTTAAAAATATGCCATCCAGTTTTTTGATAAATGGAAGCTAGATTTAAAACTTGAGGCGAGGGGAGGTTGGTAACAACTATGGAGTTAGGCACTTTAGTATAAAAATGTCAGGTCTGGATTGAAAACCCTTGGATGATCATTAGATGGCAACAGTAATACTAACATTTTAACTTTTTGCTGCCATCTCTAGTATTTTGCAGCTCACATACAGTAGTCTTTTGTACAGTTTTTTTTTTTAAAGAAAAGTTAATTATAGCTAAATAAGGTAATTGCCGTTTTTTCTTTACATTTATAATTTAGCTTGATAGAAGCCTCATTAAGATATTGAAACCTTGAACACTATTTTATGGGCCCATTAAAACTATTGCTTTACTGTAGAAAATGTTTTTTGTTCCTTTTGAGTGTCCTTCACAGATACCATCGTAACAGTGAATGCCAAGCAAAAAAAACAGCAAACTGTAATGTAATTAAAGTTCTCTGTCTGAATCCCTGAAGTGGTGAAAATGTTAGCTTTGAGGATTACTGTATTTCTAATCTGGCAATACATTGGTTTGGATTTTGTGTTCTTTGAAACTGTCTTATTCCATGTAGGATACGATTTATCCAAAGCAAACAAAATTTGGTTACTGCATTTACTTGATACTCTGAGCTCTGGTCTTAACTTGGCATGAATACTGGTACTTTCTTATGTCTAGTGTAATGAAGGGAAAGACTAATGATAGCAGTCTTCGAATAACCAAGGAGATGCCAGAAAGAAGAAGGGATCAATCGATTTTCCAGACCTGCAGAAGGCAGGACAAGTAGCAATGGATGGAAACTAATAAAGAAGAAAAGCAGCCTAGAAACTAAGGATCAATTTCTTGACAGTCAGAACAAGTGGAATGACTTGCTTCCAGAAATTGTGGGTGCTCCAACACTGGAGGTTTTTAAGAAGAGATTGGACAACCATTTATCTGAAACGGTAGTTAGGCTGTTGGTTTGAGCGCCCAGCTTGGCAATTTGATTGCTAATGTTTCATCACCATTCGAGGAGACATTGTCTGCATTTTGAGTTGTGCTTCTCTGCCAGAACTGTTGTGGTCCACTAGCGGCTTGTGGAGATAGTAGCAGAGTTGGACAGTGGGAGGACTCGGACGAGGGTCCTGTGTCTGATTCAGAGATGGGGCCAGGGCCATCTGGGAGTTATGTGCTGACTCTGGAGCCTCCAGAATCTGATAGCAGCAAGGCAGAGGAACAAGGGGAGCCTGTTCCCAGTGAGCGTATGCACAGAGCTGCCAGAAGGCAAGAACAGTTAAGACAAAAGGGGCGACTCAGGAGTAAGGCTTGGAGGTGATTGGCCCCTCCCAAAAGACATAAAGGAGGAGCAAAGGGACAGGAACCTTTGCAGGAAGCAATTTTGTTCGCTCTGTTCAGATTAAACCTTGAAGCTCTGTGTGGACTTTGTACTCCATTTGGCTTCTTACACTTAATTTGGCACTGTAGTTGCTGGCAGCAATTCAAGAGATAAAGGTGGGTGCTTATGTCGAGAGACTGTTTGAGACTCATTACGGGCTGGGAATGAACATAATTCCCAGTATTAAAATAAAAGGAGAGTTGCTTGGACTAAGCGTGTGCTTAATTACGGTCTCAGGAAGCCTTGGTCAGAACAAGCTCTTTGTTCGGATATTTCTGAGTCCTAAGATATTTCTGAGTCAACAAACAACATTCAGACCAATTTGCATCTCATAAAAAGATAACTAAAGACCTTTGTTCTGACAGACGAGCACAACTCAAGCACACATGTCTCCTCGAATGGTGACAAAGAGTTTGCAACCAAACTGCCAAGCTTGGAGCTCAAACCAACAGCCTAAGCATTTATCTAAAATGATATAGGATTTCTTGCTTGAGTAGGTTGGGCTAGAAAACTTGCAAGATCTCTTCCAACTCTATTATTCTGACCTTTGTTTCCGTTGTCCTTTTTAATTTTATAGATTTCTCCCTCTTTCAACCTTTTTTACTTTATTCTTAATAAGGAAAAGAGCTTGTCTTAATTTCTCCCACCCTTGAGAGCACTCTATGGTTATATTCCATAGAAGTGGGTAGAAGTAACCAAACCTGCTCAGCCTTAATTCAAATTTGGTAACTTGTACCAAACCTGTTTCCTGTGTAATCTTCTCTTTGTGATGATGTGTGATAGTTTTCTAGTTTCCAATTACGAACACTTGGATAAAATACATTTTCATGTTTACACTCAGCTTTTCTGCATGTTGTTGCTTTTTTTAAAAAAAACTGACCACTCTCTTAGCTTTTAAACTGTTCCAGCTTAAATTATATGCCATGCAATATGCTATTTATATGTCTGGAAACTTAATTTGAAGCTTATTATATTTTCCCAGTACGGCTTGTCCTCATCTGGAGTTGAACAAATTGGCCAATGTCATTATTCCTGTTGGAGCTATTACTGTTTTTCAGCTTTTACTAACATAGCTGTATGCTATACAAAACATATTAATGAAGTACCTCTTGTATTACAACAGCTCAGCATTGTTGGCCCTTAACAATTGTATAAATCTAACAGTACTGGCTTTACCGTTAAGAGTCTGGATGAATTGCCGACTACATCAGTTGTTTCTGATTTAAAGCTGCATCTCATCTGTCATCTGCTCTAAATTTAAATCAGTAAATTTAAATTTAAATCAAATTTAAATGGAAACTGTGTGAGAGCAAAGAATATACCCAGTGGTTAAAAATGGAGCATTTATTCTTGGATCTCACGAGAGCCAGTTTGGAATGGTGGTTGAGCCTACTGGCTTCGAAACAAGGAGACTCTGAGTTCTAGTCTTAACTTGGCAGGAAAGCTAGCTGGATGACTTTGGGCCAGTCACCAGGAGACAGTGAGTTCTAGTCTTACCTTGGCATAAAAACCGATTGGGTGTCTTTGTGCTAGTTATTCTCAGAGAGATTAGTAAATAAACTATCTTCCCTTTTCATTCAGGCTTTGAGGTAAATTCATTTTCTGCCTTCCTATTAATGATTGACATATTCCATGGCTAAGATAAGAAGTCTAGTGTTAACTTTAATCTAACTCTGTAACTCATTCACCCGCTTTCTCCTTTCTGCGATTAATTGCCAATAACTGGTACAATCTTCAGGGAATAGAACAAGTTGATCCAGTTTAAAACTTTGGATCTCAGCACCCAACATTACTATCCCTGGATCAGTTGGGAGACCAACAGGAAGTGGAAAGCCACTCCTGAAGCTACAAAAGAAAACTGTTTAGTTTTGTCCTGTTTCAGGAATTGAAGGCTTTTTTTAACCTTTGAGGCCTGCGTCCCCCACTCCATAACAATGGTGCTTTATTTTGAAATGTTTACCACAATAGTCTTAGGATAGGTTTAGATCCTCACTTCTCAAATATCGGTGCACCTTAAGCAGGCTGCATATATAACAGTCCCTCTGCTTATTTTCCTCACAGCAACCCTGCGAGGTAGGTTAGGCTTAGCATCCCTTCAGCTATACCTAAGGGGAAAAAAATTCGTCGTCTCTAAGCACACTTAACCTGTGCATCAAAGTGACTTCATGTGACCTTGTTCAGAGTATTGCAGGGTAAGTTCAGCACCAGAAAATTAAACACACATGGCTGAGGCTTCATTTAACTTCTTTATAAACATATAAAGTAAATTTTACACTACCAGTTGTAGATTTCTCCAACATGGAGCAAACTCAAACAGAAGCAGACATGTTACAGGTTCAGACTCAGACTCAGAGTTCAACATAGCTTCAGAACTTCAGAGCTTAATATAGAGCCACGCCTAGGCTACTTCTAGTTTCAGTTTCCAAACAGCCCTCAATGGCTGACTTAGTTGCTGTGCCTATTCATTGGCTGACTTTGTTACCAAGCTCTGTTCCAGTTCATGAATATACTCTGACACTAAGCCCCGCCAAATAACATTGGTTTGGTCATCCATTCTGTCAGTTTAATGTACATCACTTTTATGAGCATAAAACTATATGTATTTGACACCCAAACATTGTCCCATTGATCCGTTCAATTGTTGAGCTCTTCTATATCTAAATGATAAGGTCAGAAGCAATGGAGCAAATATTCCAAATATTTTTATGCCGTATCGATTAGCCTTTGCAGAACTGTATATTTTCCACATCATTAAAAGTGACTGTTTTGAGTGGCCTACAGTGGCCTAGAGGTGGGGCTCTCACTTCCCAAATCAAGAGGCTGTGTGTTTGATCCTAGGTAGAGGCAGATATTTTTCTCTCTGGGCCCAATGAGAATATATCTGCTGAAAAAAAAAACCCTCCACATTGGCGATAGGCAGGGCATCCGGCCAGTAAATGCTCAGCTCCATTCAGTTGCTCAGACTCTACCTCGGAAGGGATTATGGGGTTGTTAAAGGAAGATGATTAAAAGTGACTATTTTCCTATTAAGTGCAAGTCATCCATGTTGTATAGGGTTGTATCTGCAACTTCATTGCAATGGTGTTGCTATTCTTGAACTATAATCATATATTTAAAAAACCCCAAATCTATCATTTCAAAAGCTAATAATTACTAAAGTTATAAAAACTGTATATACACAGTTCTTTTAAAAAAATGGGAGTTTCAGTATTCATAACATACTGGTATCTTATGGAACACAAAGTTGTGTTAAAAAGAGGCTCTTTGGGAAGTGCTAAGAACTTTACATCAGACAATTTCTGCTCTCCATTGTCTATTGAATGATTGTTATCTAATGTACATCTCTGATTACAACAGCATTTTGCAATTACTGGATTGTTATTAGTCTGAATTTCTAATAAACTTAGCTGAAGTTTTTTTTTTCCCCCTTCCTTTAAATAGGTACCTGTCAGATGAAGGGATCGACGCTTGCACAAACTCATCTGAAAGAGTCAACATCAACGATATTATCCTGATCGCACTTAATGTAGGTACAATTTGCGAACTGTTAAAATGTATACTTACTTTTGGTCATCTGTTAGTTAGATTTTTAAATATACCAATTAGCTCCAGAAATGAAAATGTTCCAGGCTGGTTATTTTATTTTTCCTTTGACAAATATTTATTAGCCCTCTGTTTTATGTTATTCAAATTTACACCAGTCATGTATTGTATATAAAGCTATATTAAGTGAAAAAAATATATTTTTAAAGAGGGAGGAAATCATTAGAATAGAGCTGGAAGGGACCTTGGAGGTCTTCTAGTCTAGCCCCCTCCTCAAGCAGGGGACCCTATACCATTTTAGACAAGTGACTGTCCAGTCTCTTATTAAAAACCGGAATGAAGGAGGATAGGAAGGGAGCATTAAGGAAGAGGACAACAGGAAGGAAGGGAAGGGAAGGGAAGGGAAGGGAGGAAGGAAGGAAGGAAGGAAGGAAAGAAAAGAAGGAAGGAAACGCAGCCCAAATCTTATTTCTATTTAGAATTTCTTTAGAAGTACATACTGAAATTTTGCATGGTGTTGGGAAAGGATAAAGGCCTAAGTATATGTCAGTGTGCTTCATATTCCTCCTGTGTTTAATAGGATGCAAATAATAGTCAATTAGATTGCAGGGTGGGTTTCTAGATTAGAGATTGCAGTTTGTCTAGAATGTCAGTAATACGGTAAATCTGGTTATACTTTAGTTTTACTTGAATTAGCAAATGACATGGAAAGGAGAAAAGTAGAAACATTTTTGTAATTTCTGTGAATTTAAGAGAAACAGAAGTATGTAAGAGAGCATTATAAAGATCTTTTGGAGTGAATTTTATTGATACATAGAAGTGAAAGTGGGTGTGTTAATTATAATTAATCCATTCTTATACCGAAGTGGCAGAGGAATGAATATTTGTTTAAAAGCACAGGTGGTTTGATTGCTTATGAAGAATACAGGAATTACAAGGATGATGAGAGAATGTGAAACAGAGTATTTTTGACAGTGTCAGAAGTGGGGAAAAATAGACTACAAAGGCATAGAGAGAAACTTATTTTTTAATGAAAATAAAAGCCTAACCTAAAATAGAATTATTGCAAGAAGAGAAAGTATAAGTTCCTGTTTGAAAAAAAGTGACAAGATAAATTTCCAAATGGAAAGTGTTTAAAACATACAATGATAGGAAAACTGTTGGAACATAGTAAAATAACCCATGATAGGTATGAAATAAACAAAATGTTAAAAAGTTATGATATTACCGAGCACATCTAAATTATATTAAAGTAACCAAAATATCTTTATAATCTCCAAGGCATGTCACAACTTTTGGGCACCCCTAATGTTTGGAAATTGAAAGTTGAAAAATTTAACACCCTCTAATTAATTGAGTATGTAAGTAAAAACTGAAGTTTTCTTGGTAAAACAACAGGGCCTACCTTATATATTTTCTACTTTTATGTTACTAGCTGTTGCACATCCCGAGTATTGTGTTACTTATACTTTCTGAATGTTTTTCTTAAAAAAAAAATGTTTAGCACTAAAACCTACAGAAGAAAACTAAAATGAACTAAAAAGAAAATAACAAAAAAGGTTTGAATTTTTTAAAAATCAGCTATATACTCATTATAATTTTCTGTTCAGCATGATGCTTACATGGTTGAAAGTGATCTGTTAGGAACAAAGAATAATTCATTAAATATTGACCAAGTTTGAATCCATTTCTCCTTCGTCATTGAGTTTTTCAAAGCTCTTCATTGTCAACTTTTCATCTGGAAGGATTTCCTAAACTCTTAAAAACCACGCATCTTATGAAAAATGTGTTTTTAATTGGTCACTGGTTTGCAGTAACAAATTTGCAGCTAACGGGACAAACTGAACCTATTTCTGATGTTGCGTTGATTTATACGTCTTTAGAAATAAGGCAGTAAACCATGGCTGCCTTGGTTTACAGATTCAAATTTGATCTGTTAAGTTTAGCTGAAGATTTATTTTCATGTTCTTTTTTATTATAATGAGAGTTCCTTCAATACTTCTTTTGCCCATTTTTGAAGGGCACAGAGGAAATATCCATTATTCAAAGCATATTTTCATCCAGAGACCCTTAAAACCTTCAAAATTGTTTACTGTCTTGTTTTGACCAAAGGCAAGGCGAAATGAGGCAGATATATATTTATTAACTTGCTTGTCACTATGTGGAAAATTAAAAGAGGAGAAGAACGGTATCCTAAGATCCTTTCAAGTCCTTCAGTATTATTATTATTCCTCAATTCAGAATTATCTGAGATGTTCTGTCCAATAGGTTTCCCCCTCATTTCTTGCTGACCATCTCGCCTTGTTCTTTCTAAAATGTTCTCCCAGTTCATGACAGGATAAGTTTTCTTTGCAGTGGATTTGCTTCCTTCTAATACTGAAATTAGAAGATGTTAAAAAAGATGTTGAGACTCCAGAAAAAGTGCAAAGAAGAACAACCAAAATGATTAGGGGACTGGAGACCAAGGCATATGAAGAACGGTTACAGGAACTGGGCTTGGCTAGTCTAGTGAAGAGAAGGACCAGGGAAGACATGATGGAAGTCTTCCAATATTTGAGGGCCTGCCACAGAGAGGAAGGAGTCAAGCTATTTTCCAAGGCACCCAGAGGCCAGACAAGGAATAATGGATGGAAACTGATCAAGGAGGGATTAAACCTGGAAATAAGGAGAAACTTTCTGACAGAACAATCAAGCCATGGAATAGAAGTTTTCTGTCAGGAGTTGTGGCAGCTTCATCACTGGAGGCTTTCAAGAAGAGACTGGACTGCCATCTGTCAGAAATGGTGTAAAGTCTCCTGCTTGGACGGGGGGTTGGAGTAGATGACCTACCAGGTCCCTTCTAACTCTTAAGTTCCTGATTCATGAGGTTACAGAGATCTTGGTTTATCTGTCAGCTTATTGCAGATGCTGATTTGGGCTGAAGAGACAATGATTGGACCCAGGTTCCCTTAGCTGGCTTCCATACCCATGGGTCTCCGAGTCCCCAACCTTATATACAGATAAGATAGTCTTCAACTTACCACTGGTTGTTCAGTGAATGTCTGAAATGATGACAGATGCCACTTACAAGCTGGTTTTGAAGTTCAAGCATCTGCCCTAGCATGGTGACATGGCAGCATTATGGACGTTCACCAGCTGGCCACACACGCATGGCCATTTGTGGCACCCTGCAGTTAATGTGACCACGAATTATGGTGTTTTTTTTTTTTTACTCAAAACCAGCTTTTCCTTATGGCTCCCTACAAAAAAAATGCCCTATAGCGAACCAGAGGTTCACTTTTTCAGTCACCATCTTTGCTTTGCAATTGCCGTGTTCGCTTACGAAAGGTAGTAACAATGACTTATAGCTGTAATTGTGTGGTTCAGTTACGATCACAACTCAATCAGAGTAGGTCCCGGAAGGGACCTTGGAGGTCTTCTAGTCCAACCCCCTGCTCAAGCAGGAGACCCTGTACCATTCCAGATAAGTGACTGTCCAGTCTCTTCTCAAAAACCTCCAGTGATGGAGCACCTATAACTTCTGGTGGCAAGCTGTTCCACTGGTTAATTGTCCTCCCTGTCAGGAAATTCCTCCTTAGTTCTAGGTTGCTTCTCTCCTTGATTAGTTTCCATCCGTTGTTTCTTGTCCTGCCCTCTGGTGCTTTGGAAAATTAAATTGACCCCCCTCCTCTTGGTGGCAGCCCCTCAAATACTGGATTACCAGTATGTTCTCTGAGACAATGAACCAAATAGAAAGGACTAGAACAGGGGTGTCAAACTTAATTTCCTTGAGGGCCGCATCAGAGTTCAGTTTGACGTCGGCGGGACCGGTGGGCATAGCCGTGATGGCCGTGGCCAGCTCGACATCACTCGTGTTGGGGGCACCTGTGGTGGCCCGAGCGCTCTGCCAGTGAAAACGGGCTCCCATGCTCCGTTTTTGGCAACAATGGCCTCCTGCAACCCTTTGCCAGTAAAAACGGAGCTCGGGAGGGCCACTTGTGGCCCTCCCGAGCTCCATTTTCACTGGCAGAGGCACCGGGGGCAAGTTCTTCACCGTTTCCAGGGCAGCCCTGCAGGCCACATTTAAACACCCCGCGGGCCGGATCTGCCCCCCGCCCCCCCGGGCCTTGAGTTTGACACCCCTGCACTAGAACATTCATTGTCTTTTTTTTTTTTATAGTCCACAATGAATCTTAATGGAAATAGTGAGGTAGGTGGGTAAGTAAGAACCAGCAATTAAACTGCAACCCCACATGACTTGTTATAAAATTAGAACAAGTGTCTCCTAATTCTGATGATTTGCTTGATATTAATGGTAAACACCGTTCAAACTTATTAACAAAAGTAGAAAACCTGAGGCAAAAACTATTTGCTTTTGGTAGCTCCTCCACTCATCAGGCGCTTACAAAGTTGCATTTTAATTTTTGAAGAGTGCCTTAAGTTGCAAAAAAAAAGAGAAAAAAGAAAAATACTGCTTATAAAAATCCTAAACCTACATTGATTGCTGTGACCTCTGGTCAGATCATCCTTATTGCAAATGTTGAAACTCTTTTTGATTCCTTATCTCTGCCTTTGAAAAGCAACACTAACCTTTAATATTGTTTTCAACTTTAGACAGACTTGAGAGCCATTGGCAAGAAATTTCTCCCCAGTGACATCAATGGCGGAAAAGTAGAAAAGGTAAAAAATAATAATAATAATTTAAAAATCCTCGTTCTGTCTTTAGTAAGCTTGTGCAAAAGGTCAAAAAGTTTTTTTTGTTTGTGTTTGTGTATGTGCTTTATTTATTATAAGGCATCCTCATTCTATCTTTAGTAAGCTTGTGCAAAAAAAGTCAGAAAAAAAGTGTGTGTGTGTGTGTGTGCGTGCTTTATTTCTTATAAATGGTTGCTGTTTTTCTCCAAAGAACAAATGTTGTAAAAGAGCAAATCTAGAAATTCTCCATGGACTGTAAAAACATGCTTCAGCCACAAGATGGCTGTATTTCATTAAACTTGAAGAAAATAACATTAACCACGCTCCGTGACAGTTTTTCTCTTTTTTATTGTAGAGTTAAAAAAATATAGTTCAGACATGATCATTGTTGATTTTTTTCCGAAGTTGTCCTGGTTGATTTTTCAACACTTGTATTTGAATAGGTTGTACCAATTTAAAGCTAAAACCAGGAAAACACTATTTTTTCCCCCTCCTGATTAAATATTGTTGGATTACTTTGGACATTCTAAGTTAGAAAGTTGGATGTTTTCTGCAAAGATCTTTTAAAAACCTTAGTGTCTTAGCTTGAAATGTGGGTACCTGGTGGGGTTTTTTCTTCTTCTTCTTGTTGCATTATACTGAAGGTAAGATCTAAGGTTTTTTTCACTCTAAGTATTAAGATGATTTTTCCTCCCCCCTGGATATAGTATTTTTGTTTTGTTTTTTGTTTTCCCAAATTTTGTTCTGTTGTACTTTACTAATTTATTTGATTCTTTTTGTTAGTTTTTATTGTTTTTTTTTTAATTTTAATTTTTTGTTTTAAACATGATTTTACATTGTGTAAGCCGCCTGGACTCACCGTGGGCGAATAGGTGGCAATATAAATTAAATAAATAAATTTGCAGAAATAATTTAAGAGTCCAGCCTATCTAACATGAAAAAGCTTCTTTAAGCATATCTTCATACGAAGGTAATCTGTATGGGTATATAGGTAGTCCTTGACTTACAACCACAATTGAGCTTAAAATTTCTGTTTTTAAGCGAGACATTTGTTAAATGGGTCCTGCCCCATTTTATGACACATTGCCACCGTTGTTGAGTGAATCATTGCAGTTGTTAAGAACATGGTTGTTAAGTGAATCCCATTGACGTTGCTTGTTGGAAGGTCACAAAAGGGGATCACATGACTCTGGGACATTGCAACTGTCATAAGTACATGCCAGTTGCCAAGCATCTGAATTTTGATCATGATTATGGGGATACTGCAATGGTTGTAAGTGTGAAAAACGGTCATAAGTCACTTTTTTCAGTGCTGTTGTAACATTGAACGGTCACTAAATGAACTACTGTAAGTTGAGGACTACCTGTAATCAATCAATCTATCTATCTACCTACCTACCTACCTACCTATATGCGAAATACCACTCACGCATCATCACAAAATCTCCAGAACCGTAAAGCCTACAAACTTGAAATTTGGCATGTATGTCCCTCTTGGTTTCCAGGTGCTCACTAAGAAAGGATTTTTCAAAATGACCATTGGAGCATTAGTATTTCCTATATTATTATTATTAACATGCTCTGATGCTAAGGAGTTCTACTCCCCCTCCCCACCTGAAAAAAAATCTGCTCCAAATGCAAAACGCAAGCAGAGGAGAGGAGTTTCAGTTTCAGTTTTTGTTTCACAGCAGCAAGCAGCTTTAGTACAGAACTGTTGAGTTAAGCCACGCCCAGGCTCCTTGCTGTCTCCTTGCTCACATAGCAGATATACTGTTAAAGTTACCAAACAGCCCTCAACTCTCTCACACACTGATAGGATGCTAGTCAGATGAATACTGATCCTACTGCTGGTAGGCAGATACAGACACCCCCCCCCCTCCATTTTCCTTCCCCAAAACTAAGCCTGACCACATAGTTTCGTAGCAAAGCACGGTTATTGAGCTAGTATATGTTTGCTGAGCATGTTCTTCAGATTACTATAGAAAGCACCTTCAAAGTCTCTTTGCTTGCACCATACAGGGGGATGCTGGCATTTGAAAGCATAAGCAAAAACCAGAATCGCCAGGCATTCACAAATAATTGGGCATTTAAAAAAAAAACCTCTCACTTAAGCATCAAGAGAGAAATTCAGTGACACTTTTCCTTGGTATATATATTAAAGTGACTAAACTCAGCATGAAAAACTTTCCTGAAGTGATAATATCGTACACAGTTTGGCAGTTTTTTTCACAGGGATATTTCTGTATCTCCTAGATTATAACCCTGTCTTGGGTTTCGGTGACTATAGAGGCACGAAGCAGAGGTGATAACTTCTGGCTAAAATGATTCGCCAATGGAGAAGTGTTAAAGATTCCAATTAGTTAACCCAAGAATAGCTGGATACAAGCTCACACTGCTCAGTTATAAATGATGGGCTACTTTTTATCTCTAATAAGTCATAATGCCAGAGTTTTAAGGTTAGGTAGCAGACCTTGCTCATAAAATAACTTAAATGCATTACTTGAAATATATGAAAATCCTACCTTTGTAATTACAGTAGGTATAATATTATAGGGGATGCCCAGGCTGAGCCAGAGGGAGGGATCAAGCATGTCATCAGCCTTGAATCTTTTCATGCCCACAAGGGATCTAAGTCCAGCCCACTTTGAATTCATTTGACTCTTATCTACCACCTATTTGCTTTGATTGTTAGTAGTTCAGATTCTTGCTGAGAGCACAAGCTTGCAATAAAGCTTTATATTCTTTTAAACTGCCTGGACATTCCTAATTTTCCTGCGCTCGACAATGGTACCCTTAGTAGCTGTGGAAGCGCCATTTCAGCAACAAAATGAAACAAAAAGTTGGGAATGAGTTAAAAGCATTTTTCCCCATGCCTGTTTGGAGTATCAGTCCAACATTTTTTACATACCTGTGTGTTTCCCCAAAATAAGACCCTGTCTTATATTCTTTTTGCCACCAAAACGCATCAGGTTTTATTTTCGGGGGGATGTTGTCCACTGAATCACCTCACTTGCACCCCCATCTCCTTTTCAGAGTCAGAGGCCTTCAGGAACTTCTGCACCTTGGAGTGGGTGGAGTCTTAATTAGGGCTTATTTTAGGCTTATATTAACCACATGTGTAAAAATCAAGCTAGGACTTATTTTTGGAGTAGGTCATATTTTCGGAGAAACACGGTAGTTATTTTTTTTCCCCCTTTGTCATCACAGCTAGAAGGCCCCTGTGTTCTGCAGATTCAAAAAATCCGCAATGTAGCTGCGCCGAAGGACAATGAAGAATCTTCGGTGGCTCCCAGAATGCTGCGTTTGCAGATGACCGATGGGCACACAAGCTGCACGGCGATAGAATATACTTACATGTCAAAAATAAGGTAAACAAAGCTTATGTGAACTTTATGATGACACTTGCAACTTTTAACACATCACATCTGTCCAGTGCTGAAGAGTTACTTCTAAGAAACAGTTACTTGTCAACGAGATTTTGTATTTTTTAAAAAAGGCAAAGATCTGGGTTCCAAATTAAGATGAAACATTTTATAAGATGACACAGTGGTTAGAATGCAGTGCTGCGGGCTAACTCCTCACTCCAGGAGTTCGATTCTGAGTGGCTCAAGATTCATTTTCCGTCCTTCCGAGGTGGGTGAAATGAAGACCCAGATTGTTGGGGGCAAGAGGCTGACTGTAAACAGCTTAGAGAAGGCTGTAAAGTACTGTGAAGTGGTATATAAGTCTAAGTGCTATTGCTATTTCTGTGTGGAGTATACTGCCAGTAGCAAAAGCAATAAGATTTATATAGTGCTTTACAGAGCTTCACAGCAGTTTACAGAATTTGCCTCTTGCCCTCAACAATCTGGGTCCTCATTTTACCCACTCCGGAAGGACGGAAGGCTGAGTAAATCTTGAGCCTGGTGAGATTCGAACTGCTAAATTGCGGTCAGCAGAAGTAGCCTAGAGTACTGCATTCTAATCATTGTGCCACCGCAGCCAAGCCTGACTACTTATGAAAGTTGAATTAGGTGCAAATTTATAATAATTAAAGTTTCTCCTTCAGGTTTCTTGGATAGCTTGGTATGCTTTTATGGTACCCATTGTGCCACGGTGGCGCAGTGGTTAGAGTGCAGTACTACAGGCTATTTCTGCTGCCTGCCCGGCTGCCTGCAATTTGGCAGTTCAAATCTCACCAGGCTCAAGGTTGACTCAGCCTTCTGTCCTTCCGAGATCAGTAAAATGAGGACCCAGATTGTTGGGAGCAAGAGGCTGACTCTGTATATCACTTAGAGAGGGCTGTAAAGCACTGTAAAGCGGTATATAAGTCTTAAGTGCTATTCCTATCTCATTAGTAGGCTAGAATTTGGATCACAGAGAGAAAAAAAACAATGGCCAGATTTCATTGACCCATTGGTCTGAATGAGCTGCAGTTCATTACTGATGGGCTATCAATTTTCACTAAAGGCTGTCCAAGGGAAGTAGTATTACTAATATTTAATTCGGCTGCTTTTGAACAAATGATTTTCCACACCTTTATTCATAAGCTATTTTTAGGTAAAAGTAGCGACAGTTGCTGCAAGAGGCAAGTTGGTAATCTGTAGTTTTACTACTGATAAAATTACAGTTCACATGTCAAGGAGGAATTTGCACACTTTCCAATTTAATTTTACCGATGCTGTGAAAACACTATTAACATATTACACACATAGATGAAATGGTTATTTTTTTAAAAAGATGGCTCACAAGATTCCAACTCTACTGGGCTTAAAAGAAAAGCTAAAATATTCCTATTCATTTTACAAAAAAAAAGCCATGTGTTTATTTTTTCCCGTTGTGGGCTACATCAGGGATTGCATAATAATTTCAAGGACTTGAATTTTCCCAGGCTTGCTAATAATAGCAGAAAAATAGGTGGGCCTACAAGAATTTGCTCTGATAAAATTACATCTATAAATTTCTGAGTAGTTTAAATTAGATTTGGGCAAACGGAAAGATCCAGGTTCTACTTTTGAGATAAAGTCGAGTTTTAACCTAAATTTCTTACAGATACAGTGCGGTTTTTTTGGACTGCACCAGTTTCAGACTATCTGTCAATCAGTCGGAGCTGGAAGGGACCGTTGAGGTCTTCTAGTCCAACTCTGAAGTATTTCAGACAAGTGACTGTCCAGTCTCTTCTTAAAAACCTCCAGTGATGAAGCACCCTCAACCTCTGATAGCAAGCTGTTCCATTGGTTAATTGTTCTGACTGTTAGGAAGTTCCTCCTTAAACCCCAGGTTGCTTCTCTCCTTGATTAGTTTCCATCCATTGTTTCTTGTCTTGCCTTCTGGTGCTTTGGAAAATAAGTTGACCCGCTAGATCCTGGAAGAAGGCAGTTCCAAATCCATTCATTAGAGTTGCCAAGAAAATTCTTTAGGGCTTTGATCTTGAAGAATAGTCAATTTTATTTTTCTGAAGAATTTTGCTGCAATCTTCTGTCTTTTGGATTGTGGCTACGGATGCTGTTCTTCTGTTCCCATAAATCAGCTTCATTCTTGCCCAAGTTGCCGTCACCTCAGCCAGATCTTTTTGAAGTTATTGAGATCTGATTTCCTCCAATATTCTGTCCGTTTGATGGATATGCTTGGCGGCCGAAAATGATAGATGTTTTTAGATCTTGTGGCTTGAAATGGTTGTTGTTGGGTTTTTTTGGTTTCCCCGCTTTGACAATAAACAATGGATACACTCAATGGCAATTGTACAGCAAGCCATGCTTTCAAAGATCGCTGTCAGAAAAAGGACACAGATGGATTTTGACACTTCCCGGATAAAGTGATGATGTGATGGCCCACATCTTTTCCATGATTTTCTTGGTAATCTTGTAAAAGGCAGATGAGTTATGTTGTGGTTTGCCAGCAACCTGTGCAGACGGCAGCGGAATCAGACAGTGGGGAAGAACGGGGACCAGTCAGAGAGTCTAGAGAAGACTCGGACGAGGGTCCTGCACCCGATGCAGAGATGGGGCCAGGACCATCTGGGAGTGGGGTGCTGCCTTCAGAGCCTGGCAGCAGCGAGGCAGAGGACCCAAGGGAGCCTGTTCCCAGTGCGCGTGTGCGCAGAGCTGCTAGAAGGCAAGAGCAGCAGAAACAAAAGGGGAGACTCGGCTAGCAAGTGATTGCCCCTCCCATAAGGTATAAAAGTCAGGCCAAGATGATGAAACCTTTGCAGGAAGCAAAGTAGTTCGATCGGTTCAGAGTCATTCCTGAAGCTCTTTGTACTAGTTCATTTGATACTTCTATTTTTGGCAGCACTTCACAGAACTGAAAGGTGTGTGCTTATCTTGGGGAACTATTTGAGATTAATTCTGGCTGAGAATGAAAACAATTCCTAGCGTTGCAATAAAATAGGTCTTGTTTTTAAAATAAGTTTGTGCCTGGTTACGGTTTACGAAGCCTGGGTCAGAACAAGTTATTTGCTTGCAGACAGGGTGTGTTATTTTTACCGAATCATTAAAACAATGCAGTATGGTTTTCACCATGTTGGTCACAGCCAGGAGTCGAACTAAGAGAACGTACATAAAATTATTGGGATCGTCTCACTTGAGTTGAATTAGAGCAACGTCATTTGAATAACTCCATCTCGTCCTAACACTTGCATTCTACTTATGTTTTTTTTGTTTTTCAATGTAGTCTGAACACACCGCCTGGAACAAAAATTAAGCTGCTGGGAGTCGTGGAAGTGAAAAATGGCTTTCTTCTTCTGGACGACAGCAACACGGTGGTTCTTGGGGGTGAAGTGGAACATCTGATAGAAAAATGGGAGTTGCAAAGGGTGAGGTAACACGATGCATTTTCCCATCTTAAGCCAAATGTTAAACTCCAGCTGGCTTGTTGGAGACATTTAAGGATGATGTATTTTGGGGTTGTTTTGCCCAATTCACTCAACAACCGTGTTGCTAACTTAACTGCAGTGATTAACTTAACCGCTGCGGCAAGACAAGTTGTAAAATAGGGCAAAACTCACTTAACAACTGTCTCACTTGGCAGCAGAAATTTTTGGCTCAATTTTGGTCATAGGTTGAGGACCCACTGTAGTTACTTATTGGATAGTCTTGAACTGTCAGAGCCTCAGTAGAAAGCGCAGAACATACGAAATGCTTTTAATGGCTTAAAGGACTTGAGTGAACATACAAGGTGTCGAATGAGTGAACCAAAAAGGCAGAAATGCTATTTATCTTGAAAAATGTATTAAACAACATTTGTGCATTAGTTTTGCACTGTTATTTTTCTCCCTGAACTGTGGGCCTTTCTGGTCACAATAAGCCAGATTGCATTCAATTCTCCTTTTATCAGGCAGCCTACCAAGTTATTTTCCTCGCCAGTGGAAGCATTTGAGCAAATCAGGAAGAAAAGTTGAGCTTTGCCTATGAACTTGCTTTTGAAGTACATAACTAGCCAGAAACCAGGGACAAATTTTGATTTCAGACCCTAGATTGCTCAAGGAAGTAACAGAGTTCATCCCCAAAAGATAGACCTTTTCCTGCCTATTGGGTTTTTCGTGCTTGTAGGAGAAATCAGATTATAAAGAAACACGTCCTACTTGTAAACAAAACATAAATAAAAAAAAATACCGGGAAGGAAGATACACAGTGATGTCTGAACTATTAAGCTCTAATCTCCACTGATAGGACAATATTGTGCAAAGTATGAAACAGATATCCAGCTTTTTGTAGCCTTTCCATAGCAAATCTGGATTATGCCTTTGTTTTTAAGTTAAAACTGTCTGCATGTCCATCCATCTATCCATGAAACTCTGTCTGTCTGTCTATCTAAACATATCTATCATGTATCTAACCATATCTGTCTGTCTGTCTGTCTAATAGCCATCCATCCATTTACATATCCATCCATGTATCTAACTGGTTGTCTGTTTATCTGTCCATCCATCCATCCATCCATCCATCCATCCATCCATCCATCCATCCATTTGTGTATCTAACCATCCATCGATTATCTATCTGTCCATATCTATCTATCTATCTATCCATCCATCCATCTATCCATCCATCCATCTATCCATCCCTTCCTTCTACTTATTTTCTTAGGGATAAGGGCAGTCAGCCATGCCATTAAACTCCATCATGAACTAAACAGTCATTTTGTTTTCTTAGGTGTTTGTGTTTTCAGTTATTCCAACCCTTCTCTGTTTTTAAAGACAGCATGGAAAAGAGAAGAGATTCTGGATAGAATCTACAGAACATCCAAAGCTTTCAAGCAGCGAAAAGCTTTCGGGCAACTGCTTTAAATGATGTGTTGTCAGTAATTTACACGCTGCTATCAGCGTTTCCCACCACTTTCCTTCCTTATCAGTTAATGAAAACTGCTTAATTTTTCAGAGTTTATCGAAGCACAACCGAAGCAACATAGGAACAGAAGGAGGGCCTCCTCCCTTTCTCCCTTTTGGACAGGTATGATAAGCTTTCTGGTCTGAGACATCTTCATTGCCTTCTTTACACTCTGTTGTCATGTATTTGCAATATCTCTTCGCATTTGAAAGATGTAGTCCTTTGTGAAAAATAACTTCTTTATCATTTCAACAGTTTTTTTTTTAAAATCTCCTGCAATGTTAAATCATTGGAATATATATATATTTTTGGGGGAAGTTGACATTTAAAAGCATGTAATATTTAGAAGTGCCTTGCTCAATAAATACATTGAAGCAGGACAAGAGAATATTGGTAGCTGTAGGCTTGTTTTATCTCTTGCTTAAATGCGCTTTTGTGCCGCCAGAGATGCGTATCTCAGCTTCAAGTGGACAGCAAGGAATTGGACCGCCGAAAAACCCTGCAGGTGACCAACGTGGCCAAACCGATGGGCGACAATGATGAATTTGAAAAACAGCGGACGGCTGCTATTGCTGAAGTTGCGAAAAGCAAGGAGGTGAGAATGAATGCCTCTTGTCTTTTTGTTTTGAAACAATACAGGTATTGTGTTTCCCCCGAAAATAAGACCTACTCAGAAGGTAAGTCCTAGCTTGATTTTTACATGTGCACCAAATATAAGCCCTACCCCCAAAGGAAGTCCTGATTAAGACCTGGCCCACTCCAGGGTGCACAGGTAAAAATTAAGCTAGGGTGGCGATGGGGGAGGGGTTAGAGCTGCCCTACTACTTACCTTCAGACAGTTGCAGCCAGGCCTCACACACCTCGGCCCGTTTCTTCTAAGAGATAACACATAATCAGAGTTGGAAGGGACCTTGTAGGTCATCTAGTCTAATCGCCCACCCAAGCGGGAGACCCTACACCATTTCTGACAAATGGCAGTCCAATCTCTTCTTGAAATCCTCCAGTGATGAAGTTACGGCAACTTTCGAAAGCAACTTCTGTTCCATGGGTTGATTGTTCTCACTGTCGGATTTCCAGGTTGAATCTCTCCTTGTTCAGTTTCCCTCCATTGTTCCTTGTCTATCTTACAGGTGCTTTAGAACATAGCTTGACCTCTTCCTCCCTGTGGCAGCCCCTCAAATATTGGAAGACTGCTATCATGTGTCCCCTGGTCTTTCTCTTCACTAGACTAGGCAGGCCCAGTAACCGTTCTTCATATGTTTTAGTCTCCAGACCCCTAATCATCCTGGTTGCTCTTCTCTGCACTTCTTCTAGAGTCTCAACATCTTTTTTTATAGTGTGATGAACAAAACTGGAGGCAGTACTCTAGGTGTGGTCTTACTAAGGCTTGATACAGTGGTATTAGTACCTCACTTCTGCAGCTGGATTGATCCGTAGCTCTCTTATCAGCTGCAGAGGCCTTCACGATAGCTTTGCTGGCCTTGCCGGACGAAGAAGTTCCTGAAGGACTCTGATAGTGAAAAAGAGGCTGGGGGCAACACATACAAGTGAGGTGAGTCAGTGGACGACACCCCCACTCCCGAAAATAAGACCTGGTGCCTTTTTTTGGCGGAAAAAATATAAGACAGGGTCTTATTTTGGGGGTGAGGTCATCTACTGACTCACCTCACTGGCACGTGTTGCCTCCAACCTCTTTTACTGTCAGAGGCCTTCAGGAACTTCTTCATCTGGCAGGGCCAACAAGACTTTCCTAAAGGTCTCTGCAGCCGATAACAAAGTCCTTGACTTACAACAGTTTATTTAGTGACCATTTGAAGTTTGGCTCCGAGACATTGCAAGCGTCATAAATACCTGCCAGTTGCTGGACTGGAAGACCTCCAAGGTCCCTTCCAACTCGGTTAGTCTGTTGTATCAGGAATTGTTTCCTTTTTCAATCATCAGTTTAATGAACCGAGCCAATTACAGGTAGACCACAACGTACAATATTCACATAAATTCTGGGCTCAATTGTCATAAGTCGAGGGCTACCTATGTACAAAATTTTATCGGCTACCTGTGTACAAAATATATCCTAATAAGCATTATTGTTCTCTTCTCTAAAGACCAAGACTTTTGGAGGCGGTGGAAGTAATACGAGAAGCAACCTCAGTTTGAATGCAGGAGGGAATCGAAGCAGAGACGTATTCCAGAAAGAGAAGGCGAAGCCTGAAGGAAAAAATGAAGGTGTCTATCGTGAATTGGTAAGATACATATCTCTTTCTCTCAAAAAAAAAAAAAAAAGAATAGAGTAGAATAGAATTGGGTAGAATTAGAATTAGAGTAGAGTGGACTGGAGTGGAGTAGAGTATTGGAATGAGTAGAGTAGAGTAGAGTAGAATAATTGGAATGTAGAATAGAATATAATTAGAATTAGAGTAGAATTAAAATAGAGTGGAGTATTGGAATGAAAAGTAGTGTAGAGTAATTGAAAATAATAGAATAGAATTAGAATAGAATTGGAGTAGATTGGACTGGAGTGGAGTAGAGTATTGGAATGAAGAGTAGAGTAATTGAAATTAATAGAATAGAATTAGAATAGAGTGGAGTATTGGAATGAAAAGTAATGTAGAGTAATTGAAAATAATAGAATAGAATACAATAGAATTAGAGTAGAATTGGAGTAGATTGGACTGGAGTGGAGTAAAGTATTGGAATGAAGAGTAGAATAGAATTAGAATAGAATTAAAATAGAGTGGACTATTGGAATGAAGAGTAGTGTGGAGTAATTGGAAAGAATAGAATACAGTAGAGTAGAATATAATATAATAGAATTAGAGTAGAATTAGAGTAGAATTAGAATAGAACTGGAGTAGATTGGACTGGAGTAGAGTAGAGTATTCGAATGAAGGGTAGAGTAGAATAGAATTAGAGTAGAATTGGAGTAGATTGGACTAGAGTGGAGTAGAGTATTGGAATGAAGAGTAGAGTAATTGGAATGAAGAATAGAATTAGAATTAAAATAGAGTAGAGTGGAGTATTGGAATGAAGAGTAGTGTGGAGTAATTGGAAAGAATAGAATACAGTAGAATAGAATAGAATAGAATAGAATAGAATAGAATAGAATAGAATA